CCTGTCTGGCAGTGTTTTTTTGCAGCTGGGCCCAGTGGCCAGATCGCATGGCCAGGTGGTCCTTCTAAAGAAGGGGGTTGTTCATTCTCTCTCTCCCTGGGGTTTCCAGACGGATTTCCAATTCTGGTTCTTCAGCTTTTGTTCATTTTGGGAGCCAGCAAGATTTTTTCTGCAGATTCTGGTGCTAGCTGCTATAGCCAGAGTTGATGCGGTTGCTTGCAATCAGGAACCCGGGCTCCTCGGTGAGGAAACCAAGACTCCGAAATCCAAGAATGTATTCAGGGATCATCGCTAGCAACTTTTGGCTGAGAAGTCTTCTCTCTCTTCCCCTCGATTGCTTTCTGGAAATGTCTAAAGAAGGGCACAGAGAACCGAAAAAGCCAGCACGGCTCTTAGATTAGTGTGGGCTTTGAAGACCAGCAGATGGACGAACACTGACCTCAATTCCATGTTGGGTGACAAACGCATCCATATTGGTTGTTGTTAGCGGCCACTGAGTTGGCTCTAACTCATGATGGGTTTGTGTACAACAGATCAAAACACTGCCTGGCCCTGAGCCATCCTCACCATCACTAGCATGTGCAGTGCCTCGCTGCAGCTATTGCGCTAGCCTACCTCACCAAGAGTCTCCCATATCCTGGTTGGTCCTTTATTTCACCAAACACCGTGGCCTCTTCAAGCAATTGATGATGTGTCCAAAGCAAGCAAAGAAGACAATGTTCTTACTTGTTGTGATGCAGAGGGTTTGTATTAGCTAATTTTCAGAAGTAGGCCCCCTTTCTTCCTAGTCTGTTGTCATCTGGAAGCTCTCCTGAAACCATGAGTGACATAGCTTCTAGCATCCTAACAATACCTAAGCCACCACCGTGAGACAAATTGATAGATGGGAAGTGGTATAAATATTTAGTGTGTGTGTGTGTGGGGGGTTTCTATGCTGTGTCCTGGACTGTCTTATGCTCAAATATGATTTCATCAGCTCCTCACCACAAGATGATAAGGCGGGCACTGTTCAGTGTACACATGGACATCTGGCACCAGAGTGTTAGTGGGGGGTTTGCATTTGATTCTCTAGACAAGGATGGTGCTGCTTCTTCATTAAGCTACAGCTACATGACTATGAAATTTTGTCAATCGATACAGATTTCTCCACTGCCAATTTTTCTATTAAGACCATGGCGATCCCAGAACAACCTTATCCATACGTTGTTAGTATGCGTCCTTGTGCATGGTGTTACATCTGAGTCCTGGGGTGTCTCATCTGTTTCTTCTCTTTTAGAGTAGGGCATCTAGAGTGTGGAAACATAGCCCTAACAAGGCACCTCCTTCCTGTAATTCCAACTCACTGTCTGTGGGGTCAGTGGACATCAGGTGTTGGTCCAGGAGGTTTGTTGACAGATAGCAGTCAAGGGAAGGGAGGGAGACTTTATCTTCTTACAGTGCTTAGAACCAAAATGTGAGTTTGCATCTGGGTTTTATTCCGCCCTGCCTGCCTCCAACTCCCTTCTAGCTTCCATGGAAACCATACCTTTATTTCACGAATTGTCACCTTGCTGATCCAGACTCATGGTACCCATGTGTCGAGGTAGAACTGTACTTCATACGGCTTTCAGTGGCTGATCTAGGGGCCCTGGTGATGTAGTAGGTTATGCGTTGGACTGCTCACCAGAAGGTCGGCAGATTGAAGCCACCCACTGTGGGAAAAAGGTAAGACTTTTCATTCCCTTAAAGATTTACGTGCCAGAAACCCACGAGGGCAAGTCTACTCTGTCTTTTAGGTTCACCATGAGTTGGAATTGGCTTAATGGCAGTCGGTCCTAAATCCAATGGACTTGGGATCTTTCAGAAGTAGATCACCAGGCCTTTCTTTTAAGGTGCCTCTTTGTGGATTCAAATCGCCAACCTCTTGGTCAGGAGGTGGAACAGATGAACCTATCAGCACCATCTGGGGACTCCTGCCTTTGCGTACTGGATGGTACAGTGGAGCTGAAGACAACTTGTTGGCAGAATAAGTATCAGACACCTCCGCATCTTTGGGAATAGATCAGTTGCCCAATGTGGCCTGTGACAGCCAATGAACACGTTGGCCATTTGTCTTTTGGATGAAGAAAATGAGTTCAGCTTGTTTCCTACTACCACAAGGAGCTGCAAATTGAATTGGTGCCATTGTAAGTTTGCTTGTTGTTGCATAGATAAAAGCCTCATTAAGTCCCCCATGAGGAGGGAAGAATTTTTTTTATTTTGAGGATAGAGGAGTGAGGGGGGGCGTCTTGCTTGTCTTGGTTACAACAACAAAACAGTAAATGGGAGAAATAATTAAATAACTGGCCTCTTTCTCTCTTTTTTTTTTTCAAACCTCGTCAAGGGGCTGGGTGAGTTTTTAATTAGTGCTGCATTTTCAATAAATCCGTATCTGTACGTGGTGCCGATTCTTTCCTGGATAAGGGTGAGATAATAATGAGAATCCTATTTTTCAGCCCCACACTAAAGGGATGCCTGGTCTATTTAATCACGCTGTAGAAGCCCTGGCAGCTTTCTGTGAGCCCAGGCTCTGCTCTAATTACATTTCTAGATTTTAGTAAATTGAAAGGGAAAATGTAGGAACAAAATAATTAAAACCGAAGAGGAAGTGCATATTAAAAAGGAGAAGCTGTTTAAAATTCTTCCACACAGTGCTTCCAAGGACATCTACAATCGTTTAATCAGTTCCACACCAAATCAAAGTCCTTTGTACCGAGGCTGGTAGGTTCATGTCTCAGGTGGATGGTGTGATCCCCACAGTAGAATAGAGGCATCGTCTCACCGGGCAGCATATGGGGACAGGACGTCTCACGTCTCCAGATCACGGGGACTCAAGCCCAGCCCAGCAAGCTGCTGACAGACTCGCTCTTCCCAGGAGTCCCCTCCCAGGTCCTGAACAGACCCTGGCCAAACTGTAATGATGAGCCCCAATTGTGAGGTAGGCAAAGTGTGCTGTCCAGCCCTCCAGTATCCTTTCTGTACACCCGTGCACCTCTACGCTCCCCTCTTCCCTCCCTCCCCACCCTCTCTTTCTTCTCGGACTTCCAGTGATATCTGAAGTCCCGAGAACAGGTAACTGAGCAGCCTCTCTGACACCTAGGGGCCAGTGCTTATAATTGTTTGCTGGGTTACCTCTGGCACTTTGAATTTTCACAAGGACCGAAACCTGGCTGCAGCAACACTCGAGGGGTTGTGGATAATGATGGTAAGTGAAATCTAATAGGAAAGCTGCAAGAGTCAGCTCAATAATTGAGGAAATCTCTCTGGGCTTTTAAAGGGGTGCAGTAATCACATCTTCCTACAATTTGGATTTTAATTTCTCGGTCTTTTTGACTGCAATACGGGTTGTTCCGGTGCTAGGAGTTGGGAGTGTTCTGACCGTTGAGTCTTCGGACATTTTAAAGCGTGGGGCTGTAGGGTTGGTTTGTGGATTTGAAAGTGGCTGAGCACCTGGGATTTCTTACCCCCTTGCGGCTATTCCCTGTCGAACACATTCACAGGCTACTTGGCGCCGGGCACAAGTGGCAGGCAACTGTGAGCACCGTCGCCTGGAAACAGTCCCACAGGCCTGAGACGTGGCCAGGCTCCCGGAAGTTGGTCCCAAGGCAGGGCCCATACTTTGTCACCCCATGACCTACAGGTTCATGCGGCTGCTCTTTTGGATCCAATGTGTGTGTGCCTACATAATTACTCCCTCGAGAGGGAAAAGAGCCAGTGCCTGCACGTAGGGTTTTGGAGTAGTTGCCTCAATTCAGTGAGTATATATATAGAATATTATGCTTGAAGAAAGAAGAGCAGCAACAATAAAAGTCCCCTCATTGATGTTCATGGCACACTCCAACGGGGAGGTGGCGCCTTTCCTCTCAGGGCCAAGATGCTCTGATGTTTTTTTCCTTGTTCACAACTCAGTTATTACCGATGACCCCTGGGAGCTAGGAGGCAATGCTGACTGGGGACAGCGTTGTCCAAGGCAACAAATTATCACCAAATCAGCCTCCTTTCAGGTAGGCCATGTCTATACCTGGCCTTCCAAAGAATGGTTCTCCTTGATGTTTTTGTGTCTAAATCCCAAATAACTCAAAACATTAAAAGTAAACCACAACAAAAAGTTTACCACCACCCAGTCGGTTAAAAAAGCCGACCAGGTGATGGATGGGAAAGTCGTTGGCAAGCCACACACCGCTCACGCACACACATACCGCTATTGTTAAATCCCTTTCCGGTTACGCTGTCCACCGCCCCACCCTCTTGGCTGCCCTCAGTTCGGTCCTCGCACCTCGGCGCCAGGCTCCCGCGCTCTGCACGCGACCCTCTCCGAGTTCCCGCCTCTTTCTCCTCAAGCCCCGCCCCCGCGGTCGCCCAGGCCCCGGAGGCCCGGGACGCATGCGCACTAGCGGAGGTAGGCGGGGCTTGGGGCAGAAAGGGAGGAGGGACGGGAGGCTCCGGGGAGGAGCGGGGAGCAACGAGGGGGAGCAGGAGAGAAGGCCGCGCGGGGTGGGGCCCGGCGGGTACGCGCTCGCTGCGTCGACGTGCTGACGCAATGACGCCCCGGCCGGTGTGTCTCCGGGTGTGTGTGTGTGTGTGTATGTGAGTGTGCGCGATCCGAGTGTGTGTATTTGTGTATCGGCGGTCCCGCAGGTCCCGGATGTTGCGGACAGTATGAAGCGAGCGCAGGGGCACGGGGACCAGCAGCTGTCGCCGCCGCTCTCAGGTGAGTGGGGGGAGGAGAGTCGAGGGAGGGGGCTGTCCTGTCGGAGTGGAGGGGGCGCCTCCCTTCAAGAGGTGACTGACCCCCCCCCATACACACACAACCCCCCACCACCACCACCACCACACATACACTTTTCTCTGCCTCATTTCTTACTTGCCGGGTTACGTGGCCAACGAATGCCGGAGCCTAATCAGCCGTCCTTTCTCCCAATCCCAAGCATCCAGGAGACACCAACGCGCCCCCTGCCTTCAGCACCCCCATCATTTTCCCAGCCCCATCCCCCTTGCCAAATAGTGAGCTGTCGCCTGCGGCGAGATGGGCGACTGCGCATGCGCGAGTGTGACCGGGCTCGGGGTGTGTGTGCGCTGCTGGCCCGGGGGCGCATGCGCGTCGCGGGGTTGCAGGGACCTGCGGGATAAAGAGCCCCTTGACCACTTAGGCGCCCTCCTGCTTCTTAAGCTGCGCGTTAGGCTTGCTGCGCTGGAGCCAGCCTGTTGCCACGACTCAGAGCGAGGATGTCAGTGATTTCAGGAATTTATGAGCGAAGTCCTATTTGCGTCTGATGTTGCCCCAGAGACTCCCAGGTTACAAACGCTTCTCAGAGCCAAAGTGTCCCACGCTGACCCTTTTGCAACTTCTCGTTCTAGGATGACTTGACCTGTCCCTTCCTCCCCACCGCCGTGGTACGCCTTGTGCAGACCTCTCCTAAATTTAGGTGCCCCAACTCAATTCGGTAATTCTGGCAGGGACTTTAGGTAACCTTCGGAAGGAGGACCAAGGATCGGGAGGAACTCCGGGGATTTCCTTGTAGTACAATTCTGAGTCATCTTCACAGAACTGGGCGAGGTGGAGAAAGCCCGGAGACGACTAGGGTAGTAACTGTAATTCCAGAACTCGAGTTTCTCTTAGGCCAGGACCCCTCAGACGCGCGAACCCCTTTGCCACTTCTGTTTTTGGTGAGAGGTCGTCGTTAGCGCTTTTGTTTCCAGCTGTACATAATCGATGTACTCTGAGCACATGAAAACAAAAGCAGTCAAAGACTGCCAGGGATGGCCACTCATCAGTGGTGGTTTTAAGTAAAGGCAGTGACTCTTTTACACATCAGCCTACCTAACGAAACTTCAGACAAGGTTCTGTGAAGAACAGTGGTGGTTAGTGATCTTGGGCCTGTCTTCTCAGGGGACAGGTAGACACAGCCCTTGAATTTGCACCTTACTTCTGCCATCTGAACAGGTGGAGAAACCTAAAACGTAACTAGCAAAAGGCTTGGTTGAATAGCATTGAAATGAATAGCCGAGCTATTTGATGCTGGGAGCACAGGCATTTTCTGTGTTTTTGTTTTATTTTGTTTTTCAGTTTTCCCTGCCAACTCTTGTCTCCTATGTGCATAACTAATAGGGACTTCTTTAGCTTTATTTTCTAGTCTCTTTCCTGTGTGTTCTGTATTCTTGCAGCATTTTTGAGGGATGCCATTCTTAACTCTAGCATCTTACATGCTTGGATCTTAAAGTGTATATTTCCTTCACCTTCTAGCTTAACCTCAGGCCTTTGCTTGGTTCTGTTGTCTTTTGTCTTGTTTCCTGTTGCCAGTTAGAGTTGGATTTCCCTGAAATGATACAGAGGAAGCACAGGTCCTTGGGGTACATATATCTTCCTGGTGGCATAGTGGGCTCTGGGTTGTGCCGCTCAGAAGGTCAGCAGTTTGAAACCACCAGGTACTCCATGAGGGAAAGATGAGACTTTCTATTCCTGTAAAGAGTCAGTGGAAGTTCTATCCTATCCTGTAGGGTTTCTGTGAGTCCAAACCGACTCAGGGTACTATACTGAGTCCCTTCCCTGGGCACAAGATAGCATCTTTTGTCCTGGGAAAGAGTTGGAGACTCACCTTTTTTCCCCCCTGTGCCAAGGCTGAGGAGTGTAAATTATTGTGACAGCCTCACACTCGGGGCTGGGCTGCTTAGTAGCCCTTTGGTGCTTTGTGACTTAAACTTTTAGAGCTCCCCAGACTGGCTAGTTGGCTGCTAGCCTCTCAGTTGGAGCTGTTTAGTGCTGCCTGTGTCCAGACTCGTTTCAGCTTATGGCGAAATCGTGAGGTAAAGCTGAGGTACTGTGTTCACCTTTTTCGCAGTAGACTTCCGGGATACTGGGTTCTTATCTGGAAACATTTAAGCCGGTTGAATTTACGCAGGACTCATTTAAAAAGTTTATGACATGCTTTTAGGATTAAGAGGCGTTTCATTGGAAACGTACTTTTATTTTGGCACCGGGCTTTTTTTAGTTTTGCTCTGAACATGCCCGTGTATGTGAAGTGAAACTCATAAAGTACCCAGTGAGAGGGAGGGTCAAAGTCTCTCTTCTGCCATCTCCTTTTCAGCCATCTAGCGACCTGCCCGCAAGACCAACATGGTTACCTGTATCTCGTTGATCCTGCCCGAGAGAGCTTTGCTTACACAGCATATACACCGTTTATGCTTTGAGGGGTTGGTTTGTTCATTTCCTTTACACACTATACCCATTACTCTGCCCTTTGCTTCTTGCACTCTGTGTCTTGATGATCATTCCAAAGGCACAGTTCATACAGTGCTGCTGCCGTTTTGGAAGATGGGCAGGTGTTCCATCTATAGGATTCAGTCCTTATCCAACCATATTATTGGGCATGTAGGTTGTTTCCGGTATGGACTTAAATCTTTTGTATGTGCTGAAGTACATGAGTGTCTGTTGAATAAATACCGAGCGCAACTACCGGCTCGAAGGGTAGGTGCATTTTCAGTCTTGGTAGATGTTGCTGAATTGCCTTCCCGAGCTTTTGCACCAATGTACATTCCTGCCAGGAGCCTAAGAGGACCTGTTTCCTCACCCACTGTCATCACATTTTTTGATCTTCAGTGCAGTCTTTTATCTACGATTTTAAGGTTCATCATGTAACTCATTAAGCTTCATTACAGCGAGCAGTTGTGGATAAATACTGTCACCGTGTGACAGATGGGGTGGGGGTCTTGTTGGCCTCAAGAGGACTATCTTGAGGATAAAGCCCCAAGTCTGGCTAACAGCAAATCCGTGACAGTTCTAGGAAGACATACAATCTACATCCCATTTTCCCCCTCCAACTCTTAGATGATAGTTTCTCTGTGTGAATAGTTTCAGTTAGCGCACAAGTCATGTTTTCTTTAAGTCTTTTTCTGATTACTGTGACTCAGAATTGTTTATTTAAGGGAGCTGCCGTTCTGCTACGGCGTGTTGATTTGAAAAGCTCACTTAGCTACTTAGGATACTATACTAAGTCCCTTCTCTGGGCACAGGATTGGCACTAGCACTTTTTAAAAGTCTGCTGATGGGCAGAATGTTTCGTCCTCGCTTGTGATGGAATAGAAAAAGGTTAAAAGATGCCCAGACCTGAAGGATTGTGAGGACGCTGGTAGGCCCAGGCAGTGTTTCATTCTGTTGTGCATAGGGCTGATTTTGGGGGCACCTAATAACAGAATACCTGGAGGAATTTAAAATCTTGCTGGAAATCCAAGTTACTGAGTAGCAAGAACAGAACAGTTGGAAAACAGTGGGGGACAGTAACTCAGGGTTCCTAGTTCCTGGTTAATGACTTTAAGGATTGATTAAGCTTTACCCTCCTGTAAATCTTGAAGAAGCAGACTGCTTCGTGTTTCTCCTGAGGAGCGACTTTGTGGGTTCAAACTGGCAGCCCAACATTTTGCCCACTGTGCCACCTGGACTCCTGTATTACAATGGAGAGCACTGTTTCCCAAAGTGGGTTCTATGCCCCCCTAGGGGTGCTGGAACACAGGGGAGAGGGGCCTTCGATAAAAGTAGATACCTACACTTTATCCTAGATTATAGGCTAAAGTACAAAAGATTTGAATTGCAGGGGTGGGGGCTAAGTAATTCCTAGAGGGAAGAGGCACTGGTGTCTCAGTGGGAGAATTCTTGCTTCCCTTGTAGGAGACCTGGGTTCAACTGCTGGCCCCTGTACCTCATTTGCAGCCACCCCCAGTCTCACTGCAGGCTTACCTGCTGCCATGATGCTGAACAGGTTAGAGCGGAGCTTCCAGACCAAGATGGACTGAGAGGAAAAAGCTCTCTGGCAACGAGTCGATTCCTACTAAGCTAACTGAGAACAAAGGCCTGGCCATCTGTTTCTAACAATCCGCTCATGAAAACCAGAGAGATCCCAGTAGTTTCTATTTTGTTCTGTTGATCATGGGGTTGCCAGGAGTGGAGCTGACTGGGCAGCAGTTAACAACAAGGTTTAGAGAAGTGTTTAGAGCAGTGGTTCTCAACCTTCCTAATGCCACGACCCTTGCAGACAGTTCCTCATGTGTGGTGACGCCCAACCATAACATTATTTTCGTTGCTACTTCATCACTGTCGTTTTACTACTGTTATGAATCGGGCAACCCCTGTGAAAGGGTCGTTCGACCCCCAATGGGGTTGCAACTCACAGGTTGAGAACTGCTGGTTTAGAGGAAGTACAATTTCAGCCAAGTTTTTAAAATGACAGGATGAAAAATGTTAAACACAGAAAAATTGCAAGCTAGTACAATAATCACGTTTATGCCTATCACCTGGGTTCAACAGATATTTATGTTTTGTCATTTCACTTACCTGTCTATATTGGTTTCAAGGGTCTGTGGTGGCGGTGTGGTTACGAGTTGGACTGCGAGCCGAATGGTCAGCAGTTCTAAACCTCCAGCAACTCGGAGGGAGAAAGATTGGTTCTACTCCTGTAAACAGTTGCAGCTTTGGACACCCACAGAGGGTCTCTATGAGTCACAATTTTTAATTGTGGCAGAAAAATACGTAACGAAACATTCTCCAATTAACAATACAGTAGTTTTCTAATACCATCTAATGTCCAGTTCATGTTCGGGTATCCCCGACGATGGCTTTCTTAGCTGTTTGTATTTATTTTCTCCTTCAAAGCAGGATTCAATCAAGGGTCAGGTATTATTATTTGTTATTACGTGTATTTATATTACATGTTTCTTTTAGCTCTTTTAAAATCTAAAATGATTTATATAGAAGCCACATGCTATTGGTTTTCTTAACACACCAAGGCAGTTGTCTTGAGAGTCTGTCACTTAGGGAAGTGTTCTTGTTGCCCCATGGTGTCTTCTGGTGTGTACCTTTATCCCTGTATGTTGGCAATCTAGCAGCTACAGGGTCACTTGATGACTGTGAGGTTTTGCATTTGGGCAGTGACGTCATGATTGAGGTTGGGCATTTGGGTCA